CAAAATGCGCATTCCTTCTTAGTGTTGAATCGGCACCAATGACAGACCATGGTTGACTTTCCCAACTTCGGTGGCCCTAAATACTGCAAGTCACCGTCTGTCCGGCAGGTGGCGGCACAGTCTGTACAACTGCAGAGGGCTGCTAGAGTTGGGGTGGAGGGCGGCAGTGTGCTGGGGTGCAACAGATGACAGAACACCCCGCCACACACCCTAGGGGCTACACAGTCTGAGAGTGTCCTTGGGAAGTACCTTGAAAGTGTCAACACATATTGGGAGACGCACAGAGGGCGCAGGGGAATTGGCGACCCGAATCAACCAGCGCCCAAGTCGGAGGTCCGGGCTCAGCCCTCCACCCTGGACCCTCATTGATGGAGGTGGAGAGGTGCTGGGGGCTGTGGGGACGCAGTGGCCTTGACGAAGGACCAAAGTGGTGGCCCCCGGACCTGTGCTTCCTCCCATGCGCTCTATTCTTCTGACCGAGGGCACGAACTGCACAGGTGAGCCGTCCATCCATCGATCGGGAAGCAGCTGCCCCTCTTTAGCGACCCTCTCGCCGGTTCACACGTTTGGCTCAGAGCAATTCACACTTGCGCACCCGGACAGGGCAACGGCAACACAGGAAGTGATGCTAACCCCGCTCAGGCAGATGGAAAGGCATGACTGGGCGGCTGGAAGGATCCTGGAAAGCCTCAGTCTCAAGTCACTTTACTGGGACACGCTGGACTCTCCCAGAAGCCACTGCACGAGGTGGCTCCCCCACACCCACCTGACGGTACCAGGAGGCCAACTAGCCTTGAGGCACATCTCACGGGGCTCTGCCTGCTGCCCCAGTCTCTCCAACCCACGCTGATTCCGAGGGCTTGCAGATTGGCATGAGGCTCCAGGAGTCTGGTAGGTCTTTCTTAATGTTAGAATATTGGCATTTTATTTTATCTAGTATATTTTGTTGTTTGTGTTATTACAGTTGTCCCATTTTTTTCTCGCCTTTATTCCCCTCCTCCCTGCACCCCACCCCCACCCCCCAGCATTCCTCCGTCTTAGTTCATGTCCATGCTTTGTATATGTAAGTTCTTTATCTGCCCTCCCGTTCTAAATTATAGCTTTGCCTGATGGAGTAATCTTGAATGTAGGTCCTTGCTTTTCATGACCCTGAATACTTCTTTCCAGCCCCTTGCTTCCTGTAAGGTTTCTTTCCAGAAATCAGCTGATAGTATTATGGGAACTCCTTTGTAGGTAACTGTCTCCTTTTCTCTTGCTGCTTTTAAGATTCTCTCCTTATCTTTAATCTTGGGGAAGGAAATTATGATGCGCCTTGGTGTATGCTTCCTTGGGTCCAACTTCTTTGGGTCTCTGAGCTCCCTGGACTTCCTGGGAGTCTATTTCCTTTGCCAGATTGGGGGAGTTTTTCTTCATTATGTTTTCAAATAAATTTTCAATCTCGTGCTTATCTTCTCCTCATCTGGCATCCCTATGATTCAGATGTTGGAACATTTAAAGTTGTCCCAGAGGTTCCTAAACCTCTCCTCATTTTTTTGAATTATTTTTTCTTCATTCTGTTCTGGCTGAATGTTTATATCTTCCTTCTGCTCCAAGCCATTGATTTGAGTCCTGGTTTTCTTCCCTTCACTGTTGGTTCCCAGTACATTTTCCTTTATTTCGCTTTGCATAGCTTTCACTTCTTTGTTTTGCAATGATATTAGATCATTTCTTTTTTTTTAAGATTTTATTTTTACTTATTTAGAGAGAGAGGAAGGGAAGGAGAGAAACATCAATGTGTGGCTGCCTCTTGTGTGCCCCCAAGTGGAGACTTGGCCTGCAACCCAGGCAGGCATGTGCCCTGACTGGGAATCGAACCAGTGACACTTTGGTTCACAGCCTGCACTCAATCCACTGAGCTACGCCAGCCAGGATATTAGATAATTTCTGTGAGCATCATGATTGCCAGTGTTTTGAACTCTGCATCTAAAAGGTTGGCTATCTCTTCACCACTTAGTTCTATTTTTTGAGCTCTGATCTGTTCTTTCATTTGGGTAATATGTTTTTGTCCCCGCTAGCCTGTTATGTAGTAAAAAGCAGAGCTTTAGGTATTCCCTGGGGCAACACCTAAGTTGCTGCCTTATGGCACTGTATGTGGGGGAGGGGTCTCACAGGGAACAATGCATCTGCCTCAGCTCTGGCTCCGCTGGCTTTCAGGGCGCTTCCCCTGTGATCCACAAGCAAATTGGGCCCTTCTGGTGCTGATTCCCAGGTGGGTGGGTTTGTGTGTGTTCTAGGACCCTGTGGGTCTCTCCAATGAATTCTCCTGTGAGGCTGGGAGTTTTTCCCTCCTCCACAACTCCCACAGGTTTTTACAATTAAAAAATTTGGGGCTTTACTTCCTGGCACTGGACCCTAGGTTGCATGGTCTGTCTTGCTTCCCAGTTGTTCCTCCTGGTTTATCCGCTTGTAAATATGGACTGTCTGGTCCGCCAGCCACTGCTGCCTTCTCCTGTCTGCCAGAAGGCCATATTCTCTCCAACCCAGCTGTTCATCTCTGCCCTTCCTGTTGATCTGGGTGAATGTTTTTTCTTTAACCCCTTGGTTGTCAAACTTCCATACAGTTCTGTAGGAGACTATTCTGTGTGGTGTGGGCCCGGCCTCCAGTGGCAAACACTTACTGCACAGTAACTTCCTAAAATCCATGCTAAACCTTCCAAGGACAGTGTAACCGGTTCAACCACTTTTGCCCTTTTCATTTGCAAATATTTCTCTTCTGTGATGTGATTAGCAGCATTGGCTCCTTTATCTTCTGTAAAAAACTAAAGCAACCCGTGCATAGGAAATGAGGACCATCATGTAATGTGCTGAGAAACTCAAGGCCCATCACAGCAAGGGCTGTGGCTTTTACTCCCCTTGAGAGAAAAAGCTATGCTGTTTCTTTTCCTCCACCGGACTTGGTAGTCTGTGTGAATGTCTCATTTCATTCATAATGACACAGACACTGTGGGCCGGTGTCCACCTGACGGTTCAATTTTTTGGAAATTATTTTTGTTTTAAAATTTTTTTTGTTGTCCTTTTGGTCCTGCCAGGAGGCAAAGTGTACCTACCTATGCCTCCATCTTGGCTGGTGGGGATCCAGACAGCTAGGGATGATTCTTGCCTGCAGCAAGGCTGCTTTGGGGCCTGGACAGGAGTGTGCATGCAGGAGGGCTCCTCAGAAAAGGCCTCATGTGCAGTCAGGTCAATGGCAAAATGTGCTGGGAATTCAACACCACAAATGAAAGAGCCTCAGCACAGCATCCACTATTGGCCACCTGCCTACTCATCTTGTCTGCTCTGGGATCACATCTTGGGGAAGCCCTCAAGTGAAGTGGCTGGGCCTGCACTCTTCAGCTGCGTCTCAGGATGAAAAGGAAACTCACTACAGTGTGTGCGGATGGGGCTGGGAGGGCCCCCTTGGTGTAGGTCCGGGAACTGCCCAGTAGAGAGGGCTGCATGCACGTGCAAGACAGTTCCATCAGTGCTTATGGTGCTAGAGAGGCGGCTGGGATGTGAACCTCAAGGTCACCTCAAATGCTAGAGGCCTTACAGGGCCTTGCCCTTCAGTCTCAGAGGTGCTTGCTCTTGGTGTCGGGGCCGCATTTGTTTGTCTTGCCCACAGGGCCCTAACAATGCTTGGAATAAGCGTTTTCCTTAAAATAAACCAAGAGAACTACAAACCTGCAAAGAGGCAGTTTTAAAAGATTAAGGCACCCCCGACACACACACTGCCTCATCTCCGGCTTCACCCCCAAGTTGGCTTCTGCCTGCGGGCACAAAAAGACAGAGTGCTTGCACTATGGAGTCCCACAAGGTGTCACCCTCCCCTCCCACACACACTGAGTGGGTCCTGCAAAGATGCTGTGGCAGTGGCCAGAGGGGGTCAGATAGGAACTCTGTGCCCACTTGACATCGAACACCTGAGGGGCGACCTGGAGCTTCCATGGGCTCTGCAGAAAGCCTGGAGTGGGGCAGCCTCCCTCGGCTCCTGCTCCCTTGGAACTAATTACAGAAGAGCAAGGTTAGCAGGTTTGCAGGTTTGCACCCTTGCCTTCCACACATTATCCCTGGGCAGAAAGGAGAGGAGGGGCTATGGGCAAAGTGCCTGTAGACTATGAATGTCCATCTCTGGTTTGGTGCAGTTTCAGTGTAGGGAGCGATCATTAAAGGAAATTTCAAAGAGAGCCCAGGGAGGACAGCAACCTGGCCTGTCCTCCCACAGTTGTTGATCTCGCAAAAAGGCATCCCTCTGCAGGAGACCAACAACCATGGCAACACTTTACACATGACAGAGAGCCTGTGGTGACGGGGTTGCCACGACCATACCAGGTGCATATGGTGGGGAGTGCACAAGGTGAAGACCACACTGTCCTTGGATGTCCAGTGACCCAGGCACATGAGTCAGGTGCAGAGAATCAAGGAAGAACAGAGCCTTGATGTTTCTCTCCATCATGTCCTGCTCAAACTGTCCTGCACGTCCACCAGAGAGCCAGGGGCTGCGTCCACCTATCCGGTAGCAGGAAAAGACCAATTTCGGGTGAAAAAATTACTGTGCCTGACAGTGGGGCCAATGCACAGGTAACAGCAGCTTCAATTAACTGTGGCCTAACACCCACCCCAACACACCATTACAGCCACCATGGAGCCACTAGGGGCCATCTGGTCAACCCTGGTTGGAGTGTGGTGAACCAGGCACAACTTCCCTCACCATGGTGAAGTGCTAGTTTGTCCATGTCTCAAAAAATGTGAAGGACCCACTAAAGTTAATACTTTCGTTATCCACTTCTCTCTAGTCTTCATGTATGTGGTCACAAAAAAGTTTAAGAAGTAAAAAATAATTTTTAATACAAAAAAGCTTATAGAACAAGGACATAAAGAAAACATTTTTGTATAGCTACACAATGGACTTGTGTTTAAAGCTGTTATTACAAGAACAGAAAGCTTTTGAAATTAGGTTTAAGAAGTAAAAAAGGAATTGGGGAATCAGGGAGGGGGGTAAGAAGGGGAGGAATCTCCCTCCAGAAAAAAAAAGTAAAACAAGTTACAGTGAGCAAAGGTTATTATTGAAGAAATCAAAGTATGTAAAAATAAATTTAGTGTAGCCTAACTATACAGTGTATCAGGTCTACAGTTATGTATGGTAATGTCCTGGGCCTTCACATCACTCACTACTCACTTACTGATTCACCCAGACCAACTTGTGTCCTGCAAACTTCATTCAATGGTAAGTGCTCCAAACAGAGCACCATTTTTTTTTTACTGTGCCTTTTCTGTTTAGATAGATACATGAATATTTACCATTGTTCAAACTGCCTACAGTACTTTAGCAAAGTAGACTAAGTTTGTGTAAGTGCCTCCATTATGTTTACATAATGATGAAATTGAGGTGAAGTGCATGGCTGTAAAATCCAACAATACATAAAAATAATACATTATGACCAAGTGGGACCTGCCTCACAGATGAAAGGTTAGTTTACCTTTTGAAAGTTAATGTAATTCATCACTAAAGACTAAAAAGGTAAAGAAAAATCAAAATAAATATATGGTCATCAGTGTCCAAGAAATGCCTCCCCCACCCAAATCCTACCTCCTGTATTTTCACCATTGTGGAGCCTCCTGCTACCTTGTAGCAGAATTAGTCTGTGTCAGCCAGAGATCATGTAATAATGATGGCACATCACTTTCAAGTTAAGGTTATAACACATACTGTGGTTTCATTATTGTATGAGTCTTCCTGGATTGCTTGCTATGGAATTATTTCCACCAAATGGAACACTTACAGCAAATATGTGGATAAAAAGGAATGAACTACTGACACACAATAACATTGATATATCACAACATAATCATACAGAGTCAAAGAAGTCAGACATATAAATATTGTTAGTCTATATACATCATATATAAAATTCTAGGAAACACAAATCTAGTGACAGAATAGGAGTGGTTGGTTGCCTAGGAAGGAGTCAGGAGGGGAATTATAATGGGAATCAGGAAACTTGGTTTCACAAGTGTAAACATATTGGACCTTATCAAACGGTACACTATAAATAGGTAGTTTATTGTAGAAAAAGGTTGATTTCTCTTATAGTGACCACAGGCATAGGATTCACACAAATATGGGAGCCCTGAGAATTTCTGTAAGCCCTCATACCAATGCCATATTGGAGGGACTGTTTGTTGATACCCCTTTAGAAGTTATATCCCCTAGGTTTGCTGTAGTCCCCCGATTCCATATTAATCAGTGTCTCTGTACCCATTGTGATTCCTGCCTAGTCTTTCAGGGGATAGTGACATTTGCCTACTAAATATTAGATTTCAGGGCTGTTGGCAAGCCCAAGGTTCTCCTCAAGAGGGCAAGAAAATATGAAACATCCCTTGGGAACAAGGGACCCAATGCATGGTGTTCCCAGACCCACCAGCAGTTGCCACAACAAATGCCCACCATTCAAAGTCTCACAGGCACACAAGACAAAAGGTTAGGCCCACACAGAACTGGTGTCCTTCCCTAGGAGGCCTTGAGCAGCAGTGCAAATTAGGTGGAAATTAGAATGAGAGCTGTTGTGTCTCCTGTTGAGCTCAGAGAATTTCCTCAAGCTGCCCATCCCTTCACGTTGGCTGAGCCTACTTCTGTCTTCCACCCAGTCCAGAGTAAACTGAACCCCCAAGATTAAAGGTGGTTTAAAAATTAAGGAATTTGCTGAAACACCAGAATACTGGGGTAGGCATTTCCCAACTTAGGGAACTTAAGAGGATGGACAAATCCATCATGAGTGCCGCATGACCCCAATAAAGTCCACAAAAACTGGAAACCTGCTCTGTAAGTGGCCAGCAAACAAAACTTGCATCCTCCTAACTGAAACTGGGCCATGTCCATGCTTAAACAAGTTGGGGCGGGGAAAACAGGAAGGACTAGGATCAATGGGCTCAGGATACTGAGGATTCCCTGTATGAAAAGGAGCAGCACAGATGTGCCCAACAGAGCTTGTTGGGGTGATATTTGCACAATGTGGAACCCTGCCATCGCATAGAGGGATGGATTCTTTCAGAGACACTGGCAGTGATGGAATTCTGGCAGGGGTCCTGGGCAGGTGACAAAGTGCAATATTACTCTGGAAAGCTTCCCATGGAAGAGGCCCTCAGAAGAATCTCCCTGGAATGGGTGTTCAGATGGATGGGGTTCAAATTCCAGTTGATGGCTACTCTCAGAGTCACAGAGCTTCTTGTTACTGGTGAATGAGATGAGATAGCTTCTCCCACTATCCTATGGCCTCTCTCCAGTGTGAACTTTCCAGTGTCGGATAAGGGAAGCCCTTTGCCTGAAGGCTTTCCCACATTCACTGCACTTATATGGCCTTTCTCCAGTGTGAATCCTATGGTGCTGAACAAGCACATGTTTGTGGCTAAAGGCTTTCCCACACTCACTGCACTCATAGGGCTTTTCACCATTGTGTACCCTTTGGTGTGCAATAAGGTCAGAACTTTGGCTAAAGAATTTCCCACAGGATACACACTCATAAGGCCTCGTGCCAGTGTGAATGCTCCAATGTTTAATGAGTCTGTATTTGTGACCAAAGTACTTCCCGCATTCGCTGCACTCGTAAGGCCTTTCTCCAGTGTGGATGCTCTCATGCTGAACAAGGGTGGATTTGTGGCTGTAGGCCTTCCCACACTCGCTACATTTGTAAGGCCTTGCTCCAGTGTGAACTCTCTGGTGCACAATGAGGTTGGAGCTGTGATTAAACACTTTCCCACATACGCCACACTCGTAGGGCATTTCTCCAGTGTGGATTCGCTGGTGCTGAGCAAGTATGGGTTTGCGGCTGAAGGTTTTCCCACACTCGCTGCACTCATATGGCCTCTCTCCAGTGTGGACTCTCTGGTGCTGGACAAGAGAGTCTTTGCGGTTGAAAGTTTTCCCACATTCACTGCACTCATAATGCCTTTGTCCAGTGTGTGGCTTCCACTCACTGCAAGGGGCACGGTGCTGGAAAATGCCTGAGTTAGTTGAGAAGTCCTTACAACCCTCCACAGTCATAAAGGGCATTTCCAATGGCTGGACAGGGCAGCTGTTCACAAGAAATACCTGGCCCTCATCTCTGCTGAAGGGTTTCTCTCCACCATGCTGTTTCTGGTGGTTAAGGTCTGCACTGAAGTAGAATGGTTTCCCACCTGGTTTCTGCCCAGGGTGTGTTTCTTGGTGCTCAGCCAAGGGCAAAACATCTTTCAAGACCGGGCCACATGTCTCATAGGAATAGGCTTCTTTCTGGGTAGAAGAGCCTGCCTTGGGAGTCCTGGCCTGTGATGCTCCTTCTGTAGAGACCCTCTGCTTGAACATTATCTTCTTATCCTCCACTTTATACCAAGAACCTGAAAGCAGACAAATGCTAGTGAAGTTAAACAGGTGGGAGGGGGCAGTCTTATTACAAACATGGGTCTAACAGAACTAAGAGCAAGGCCATAGGACAAGAGTCCCAGCTCAAGTTGAGAGAAGGGTTGCTACACAGTGGTTGGCATCTGTAAGTCATGGAAGGGAAGGTGCTTTGATGGGTGGAGGACACAAATGTAGGGTACAGCCCAGGAAAGCCAGGGTCTCCAATGAAGTCATCCAGATTTCAATGAGGCCTTAGCTGCTGTGGACAAGTGAGAGTTGCGCGGAAGGCTGTGTCCCCTTAAAAGGTACAATCAAATCACTGGTATTTAAAGACGATTTGGGGCTTGTGCACATCCGACACATTACGTACAGGCCAAAGTGGAGAGCACTGCAGAGGAAGCAGCGACGAGGAACAGGGGAGATGTGGAGGCGGAGGCTGGGGACAGGCAGAGCACAAAGGCAAGTGTGTAAGGGCAGAGCACAAAAAGCAAGTGTATAAATGGGAAAAAGAGATGAAGTGTGGGCAGTGGCCTTGGCTCTAAAACAACTGTGGGCACAAAGAGGTTAGGCAATGACTAAGACCCAGCCTTGACATGACACCTTTGCTCGCTCCCACTCACCAGGGTCATGCTCACCATGAGCCTCTCTGGTCACGGCTGTAGTCATGTGTGCCCGGTCTGACAGCCAGGATTCACTGCACAGATCCAGCGGGGCCACCCCACCGGGCATGGAAGATGCGTATCCTAGGGAAAAGACAGGACGGGTAAGCGGGCAGCACTGGTCTGGGTGACCCAACCTTCAACAAAGAGAAATGATATTATAAAAATAACCTTAGGAATAGTCCAGTGGTCAGTCCTGGTCCCTGCAATACCTGCCACAGGCAGGCCATCAGAAATGTCAGCTATAGGAAGGGGGCAGAACCTGGGGCATACGGGTGCCACGGGCCGGACAGAGGCACCTAGTCGGGGCAAGGGTGAGATGGATATGACCCACTGGGTAACTATAAGATCCCTCACTCCTGGGCCAGCCACGCAAGCCTTTAACGCAACAGGTGTGTGGACTCAGAATGGCATCCACAACATCTACTCCAGAGTACTGGGCGGGGGGGGCAGTGCCTATGGCTCTGGTACAGGAAAAGGCCAGGATCACCCTGGAAAACGGGAAGGGCAGAGCCCACTCCAGGACCCTGGAGTGGGTGTGAGGGCCTTACCTAGTGAGGCTGTGAGTGCCAAGTTCTCCAGCATCACATCGCGGTACAGGAGCCTCTGAGCCTCATCAAGGAGCCCCCACTCCTCCTGGGAGAAGTGCATGAACACATCCTCGAAGGTTACCTGCCCATCATCATAAGGAAAAGCAAGTACGTGAGTGGCCTGTCTCCTGAAGACACCCATGAGTGCCGCTACATTCCTTCCTACCTAACTCCTCACCTCAGAAAAAATATCAGGACTGAGTGCCACAGGATCCCTGCGCCGTCTCATGGTCCCTATGACCATCTGTGTCCACCCACAGCAAGGAGGGCAGAAAGGCACCATCTAAGTTCTGGGCCTGATATGCAGGCCCCGCCCTCTGCCACAACACCCACTATGGTAGTCAGTTCTCCTGAGGTTGCTAAGATCATGCTCACCCATCTGCCCCAATACCAAGGCCCCTCCTTCCACCTGCACATCACTCTTTTGGCTCACTCTCTGTCTCCCAAGTCTGGTCCCCACCTTCCAGTCGCTAGCCCTCCCGGCTCGCTGACTGCACTACCATTGTGATGCGCGGACTGTCCCTTCTAAGCCTGCTTCTATGCCATCATCTACCTTTAGAACACTCCACCCCCAAGTCCTCCACAGAACTTCTGTCCTGAATTCAGTTCATCAACACCTCCATGCACTGTTCTCTGGAATATCTTAGTCCCTTCACATGGTCACAAGTAAACTTCTGATATCCACATTGAGTTACTTCTGAGATGGGCACTAACTTTGCCATCTCAGCTGCTGGAGCATCTACCCTTCTGGCTGATAAGGCCTAAAACCTGGGGATTCTCTCTCACACATACACACATCAGAATACCTGATCCACTGTGAGCAGGTGGCTCAGTTGGTTGGAGTGTCACGCTGTGCACCAAAGGGTTTTTTGTTTGATCCCCTAGTCAGGGTATGTAGGGAGGAAACCAATAGATGTCTCTCCCTCATATTAATGTTTCTCTTTCTCCTTCTTTCTCTCTAACAATCAATGAGCATATCTTCAGGTGGGGATTTAAAAAAAGTATCTGATCCAATCACTTATACATCTCCACAGCCACCCCTCTAGCCCATCCATTCTTAGCACTCACCTAGAATATTAAAGCAGCCTCCTCCCTGGTCTGCACTGTAACTTCCTGAACTCTCACCCTACACAGTCTGTTTGCCACATGGTATCCACAGGGAGCCTGTTAAATCCTGGATCAGAGCAACTACCTCCTATACCACCCTCAGAATAGAGGCTTAACTCCTGACCACCTGCTCTTGATTCCTCCTGGACATGATGGAGACATGTAGTTGTTTTTTGTTTTTGTAATTAAAAATATTTTTAATCCTCACCCAAGAATATGTTTTATTATTATTATTTTATTTTTGTTTTTGTTTTAGACAGGAAGGGAGAGGAAAGAACACTGATGTGAGAAATACCAACCGTTGCCTCCTATACAAGTGCCAACTGGGACTGAAGTTGGAACCTTTTGGTGCATGCAAATATGCTCCAACTAACTGAGCCACTCAGCAAGGGCTGACACTTGTAGTTTCTTGAAAACTCCAATCTGTCTCTCTTCCAAGTACTTGCACGTGCCTGGAACAACCTTCCAAACCTTATTCCAATGGTTACCAGAAATGGGGATTCTTCCATATAACCTCAAACCTGGACTCAGAACCCTAGGCTTGGGCTCTCTCTAGGATCTTCAGACTCAAGAGCTGGGAGAGTACGAGTTAAGTGTTCTATGACATCATAATCCTGGATGCTATGTGGGTGGGATGGAATCTATGAGAGCACCCACATCCTCCCCTCACCTGTATAGGGTCCACAATTACTTCTGAGTTCATAGAAACCTGTGGGAAGAGACTATGAAAGATGAGCAACCACAAAGGAGTCTCAAAGGCTCATTCCTGCCCCTAACACCCAGGGGTTACTGTCAACTCTCTGTGCTCAGTTCTCAGGACTACCCAACGGCTATGACCTCAGACTAGGCCTCCACCTTCCTGTGCCTCACCGTCCTCATCATCTCTCCAACCCCACATTCCAAGTCTGTTCTCCCCTGAGCAGCCGATGGTATACTTATAAAATCCTCAGATCGTGTTCCTCTGTTCAGAAACTTCCAGGGTTCCCACTGCCCTCAGAATGAAGGCAAAACTGCGCAAGGCAAAGCTCCTCCTCACATTCTCTGATCCTATCACGCAGCGTCCCCGATGCTCTGGCTGCATCGCACCTCCTCCCTTCACATTGCCTGTCAAAACTGGGACCCCACCAGCAGCGGCCCGCCCGCCACCCTGGTCCGGACTGGACTGGACAGCCCACATGCGAGGCTTTAGAATAAAAGGAGGGGAGGTAGGGGAGGACCTGGGGGCGCAACACCTACCTGCGCCATCAGAACCTGTGGAGGGGAGAAGGCGGGGGAGGAGAGAGGATAACTGACGGGAGACAAGTGCGAGGAACCGGGCTTCCGCAGCCGGGGAATACTTGAGGCGCTGCAGCGGAGCCTCCAGCTCGCCTCCGTTCAGGGAAGAACCGCCTCCTGTAGTGTCACTTGGGTCTCAGATTGCGTCCTAGAGACTGAGGAGGTGGACCAATCCAAAACCCCAAAAAATGTCCTCCTAAGACGGAAACAGGAAGTCCCGCCCCAACATCTTCCTCACGAACAACAACAAAAAAAAACACCCCTTCACTGGGCCGTCATTGGCTGAAGGTCATGGAGGATTCTGGGTAACGTAGTTCTCAGCACCAACCACAAAGAGTTTTCACCACACCGACCTCCAGGACAAAGAGCGAATCAGAGAGTTGGAGGAATCTTAAGAGTGGGGGGACTAGGCGGAGCTTAGCTTTCGCTTAAAGAAGCTACACCCATACTTCCAGTGCGTGTAGTCTGTAACTTATCCCAGAAGTGTTTACAAGCATATTATTTAATTTTTAAACTTATTTACTTATTTTTAGACAGAGGGGAAGGGAGAAAGAGAGAGAGAGAGAAACCTCAGTGTTGCTTCTCACACACGTTGGGCACCATGGACAATGCTTGTTTCAGAAAACATTTTCTTGTGTGTATAATCACTGATTGTGTCAAACCCAGTGAATAACACTCTTCGTACAAAATATTTCTTTTTAAAACTCTTTTGAAAAGCATTTATTTAGCCTTGGCTGATGTAGCTCAGTGGACTGGGCTCAGGCCTGTGAACCAAAGGGTGGTTGTTTTGACTCCCAGTCAAGGCACATGCCTGGACTGAAGGCCGGGTCCTAGAGGCAACTACACATTGATGTTTCTTTCCCTCTCTCAAAATATAAATAAATAAATAAATAATACTTTTAAAACATTTACTTATGTTTAGAGGGAGGGGAAGGGAGAGAGAAAGACAAAGGTCGATTGGTTGCCTGGAGACCTGATCTACAACCCTGTTATATGTCCTGACCTGGGAGGGAACCTGCGATCTTCCAGTTCAGAGGCACGTGCTCAATCTACTAGCCACACCAGACAGGGCACAAAATATTTGTTTCTCCAGATATAGAGACGTATGCAATTCCCTTAAGCTATCTTAGAAATATCTGACAAGAAGGACAATTTACAATACTAAATGTATTTGGCAATTAAGAGGGCAAGAACAATTTTTGCGCAGAAGAAATAACTACCAAACTACATTGCTATACACAGTAAAAATATCTTAAGAAATTGTGACATAAGAGTGTTTGAGGTAAAAAATGATGAATGTACTGGTCCAAAAATGCACAGAAATAAAATCTGAAACATATTATTCAAGTCCAAAGAAGGCTGAACCTAGATGAAAGGCCTACAATAAGAGAAGGTATGAGGATTGAGAGATGGGTGCATCTTTTGATTAAAATAACTGCTCATTGGCTGTGAAGACATGAATATACCTCCTTATGGAGTTAAAATGATTAAATTTCTATGCATACCATCTGAATATATACATTGAGAGGCAGCTAATATTTTAATGCGCTAAAGCCCTTATGTTTCCAGGTAAGTGACGTGAGAACAGGGATGTATTTTGTCTTTTCATTGTCTCAGAAACATTAGCATTCAGTGCTATTCTCTAAATATGTGTTTTGTGGGCACCAACCAAAAAATCAAAACAGGAAAAGCACTGTTGGCCAATAGATACAGGGGGGATTAAGGGGAGTAACTGTCACTGCCTAAGATTTGCCCCATCATCCCGACATCCACATGTGCTTTCACTTCTGGTTTCAACTCTTCCAACTCTACTCCCTTAGGCCAGTTTACCCAAAACACATTCCTGGACTACCCAACTCTGTCCTGCCTCCAACATCAGTTCTCGCTCTACCTCACCTCATTATTCAAACGTCAGGAAGATGATTTCAAAACAAATCAGGTTCTACCTGGCCTATTCAGGTGGCTCAGAAGGACACTGATGACCAGAGGGGCAAAGGCCTCAGCCCTCCTGTTACCGGCCCCTCAAACTTTAGCCTCAGGGTTAGTAACATACTCCCTAATGTCAGTTCCCATCATTCATGCATAACTGTCTCATTGTATGTATGGTGACGAAATCCAGGAGAAGCAAAGCAGTTTCCTGAAGTCCTGCACAGCCACCATGAGGCAGACTGGGACATGCTCCCTGCTCTAGTGCTCTCCTGCAGTTGAGGGCAGGCCTCTTTCTTTTTTGAGGAATTGTGAACGAAAAAGGGGCCATATACAAAACCTGACAAGCTTAGAGGAGGCCTGCGTAATGGGCCTTACAAACATAGAGACCAAAAGTAAGCACATAGGATAATCTAAAATTGAAACTTCCTAACTAAAAGTGAGTCTTGGCAGATAGTCACATCCTAGGCCTGCAGCTTCCTTGACAAAGTTCAATCTTTAACTTAAGTGAGTCTGCCTGTTGTCTTTTGCATGTAAGAGAACATACATTTGAAATGTCAGGATAATCTTCTCTTTAGACTCCTCAAGGCAGACATCCTCACCGTTATCTGGTTGCCCAAATACCATCTTTATGTGTTGTAAATGTTAATTATTAACTATATTCTATCCACAAATGCAAAAAATATATATGTCTCTGTTTTACTTTTCATCTAATCCCAGTGATTCCCTTCCTTTGCTTTCTCCCACCGTACTTATCTACCTCCAATGAATTTCATGTAACCCTGCTTACAGGTCCTCCTTTTACTCTAATGTATAAAATAAGCGGCAAAACTGCCATTCTCCAAAGCATTCTTTCAATCCAAAGAAATGTTGCTTCCCAGCAATTGTCAGTTTGGCTCAAATAAACTCATAAAAATTGTCTGCAGTTGTGGAAGACTCTCAGCTGGACTGAGTAAAGCAAACACTAATTGTTTTATAGGAATGGAAATGTAGGTTTCGCCCAGGAACAGCAGTTGTTGAGGTTTTTCTCACACACCAGGTATTGATTGCTTCATCAGCCTGGTGTTTCACATTGGGCGCCCCCCTTGGCAGGGGAATTTAGAAATGGATTACTGCTTCAGACAGAGGAAACCGCTTTATTGAGCCTCTGGAGATGGTCTTTAAGTCATTCAAGGAAAGGAAAAACTGGACTCCCAGCTCTGCAGGGAAATTTGAAATTCAGACCTATCAATAAGGATAGTCTCGGGATGACAAATGGCTGAGTTTGGACCCTGATTTCTCCTCCACTGCGATCTCAGCAGCTCTACTTCTATGTTTCACGCTGTGGGAACTACATTGCCCAGAAGGAACTGCTCACCACTCTGCGGGTGCTCAGCCAATGAAAACGGTTGTTTCTGTGAGTGCAGAAGTTCTGGGCGGGACTTCCGGCGTGGGCTCCGGGGAGTTGACTTTGGGGGTCTCTGGGATCAGTTTGTTCCCTCAGTCCGGCTGGCTGGTTTGGGGCCGACTAAATAAGAAGGGGAGGCGCGAGAGGAGGCCGAGGCTCGGCGATGCCACCCGGGTGACCCCGATTCTGGGTCAGGGAACGGGATGCCCTGGTCCTAACCTGGTCCTCTGTTCCCTTCCCCGCTCCGCCCACCGAATCCGATGGCCGCTGCCAAGCTGAGGCTCCTGGCTCAGGTGAGGGCACGTCCCCTGGGCCCTCACACTCACCCCACCCTCAAAGCCCCAAGTGAGTGTCCCCTGCTTAGAGAAGTCAATACAATGGACTAATAGTTTTTGTACGAATCGGACCATACTGGTGGCAATAGAGGGGCGAGCAATTATTAGATCTGGGGTGGATTTTCGAAATGACAGGCTTTCTTGCTCTATCAGATGTGGCTGTGGAGAAAGTAGGGAATGAAGCACCATCCCCCGCCCCCTTTTTGGGGTTTGCTTTTTTGTCTGTTTCCTGACTATCTGGAAATATTGTAGATGGGGAAGTCAGCACAGCCAGCAGTGTTCAGAGAAAAGATTAGGAGTTGGACTTCGACATGGTAACCCTGAGTTGTCCCAGAGTGCAGGTGTCACGAGTAGCAGTTTGCTCACTTATATCTGTGTACCTGAGGAGGGCTCTGTTCCTGGACCATATTTATGCCCCGGGGGCTCATACTTAGGAGGGAGAATCATTCTTCTTCCTCTTCTTCTTCGTCTTAGGCTTTATTTATTTTTAGAGAGAGGGAAAGGGACAGAGAGAAACATCGATCAATTGGTTGCCTCCCATATGTCCCCAGCTGGAGACCTGGCCCGCAACCCAAGCATGTGCCTGAACTGGGAATTGAACCTGTGATTTTTCAGTTCATAGGTGGAGCTCAATCCTCTGAGCCACACCTCTGGAGAGAGAGTCTTATAGTTCTTATCTTAGATGAGCCTCCAGAGCAGGGGCAGGGGTGGGGATAGGGAGGTTTTTTGTGGCCCCACCTGGGTCTGCCTGGTGTGCATGGGAGCAGATGCTTATAGGGACCGATGTAAGGGCCAAGAGATTGAGATGTTCAGTGGTGTAGATGGGCAACTTCAGGCTCAGCAGACCCCCATTGTCCTCTCCTTTAGAGAAAAGAAAATGCTCATCAGGCTAGTGGAGCAGCCCCCTGGGGGCCTAAGTCCCGCAGCTCTCAGGGTAGGAGGGATGACCAACTGCTCCAACGGAAAGGCCCCAGCAGGTTTGCCTTCAGGAGTATACAGCAGGCAGCAAAATTGTGACTAGTATTACTCAGTTTCCTTAAGCTCAGTCCCCCAATTCATCAACTTCTGAGTTTATTAAATAAATATTTAAACACTAGCTGATAAAAAACAGGTGTATACATATATACACATACAGAGTGGGGCAAAAGTAGGTTTACAGTTGTTTGTATGGAAAATAATACAATAATAAACTGTCTCACATTCACAACAGTAAACCTTTTGCACATATATGTATGTACACACACAGGTACACATACATAGGCAATTAAATTAACATGGACTTGACAAGTAAAAGTGATGTAAGCACTTAATATTTGGTTGGAATCATAATATACTGCTAAGCATTTGATTACAATCAAATGCCTTAAATATCACATTCTCTTACTTAAAAGGCATGTACAGAAATCCACATTTTCAATGCCTACCAGTTCATTTGCACTGAAAATGTTGACAGAAGTTAGTTATGAGGACACTAAGAGTTGATACTTAGTACTTGACACACAGGAATGATTTTGATACAAACCATAG